ACTACGTACGTACGTACGTACGTACGTACGTACGTACGTACGTACGTACGTACGTACGTACGTACGTACTACGTACGTACTACGTACGTACTCTCTCTCTCTCTCTCTCTCTCTCTCTCTCTCTCTCTCTCTCTCTCTCTCTCTCTCTCTCTCTCTCTCTCTCTCTCTCTGAGAATGATGCAGTGAGAGATTACCCACCCCATTGGAGGGGTGCGCCCGATACCATTACTGAGCAGGAATGCAGCATAGAGACTGCCACTGTTGCTCGCATTCCCTGAGAGTGCTCCAACGCAAGAGACCAACTGTAGTAACACTACCAAAAACCCAATCACCCTTCTCTCCATTTCCACAATCAGGAGAGAGAGAGACGCTGTGATTTTTATGGAGTTTAGAGAGAGAATGTGTGATTTATATGCCGATTATTCTCAGGTGCTGCCGCAAAGGCCGGTTGGCCATTAGAGACTCTGGCTTCGTTTCTTGACATTCATTATTCCCGAAAGACTTCCAACTCGCTCGGGAGTTTACTGTACATTTACTCCCTCAGGCAAAACACATTCATAATATATTTTTTATCTCAAAATTTGGGGATGTAAACTATCTGTATGCGAGAATCACATCAAGATTGAATAAAGACCTAATATTTGAAGGGTTAGATCCAAGTGTCACAAAACTCAAATTTTAAATTTTTTTCTTTTAAAAAAGGATGTGGTTTCTATAAGGTTGAAATTTGAACAATCCAATTAAAGCGCACCTCCAAGATTGAATCACATCAAGATTGAATAAAGACCTAATATTTGAAGGGTTAGATCCAAGTGTCACAAAACTCAAATTTTAAATTTTTTTCTTTTAAAAAAGGATGTGGTTTCTATAAGGTTGAAATTTGAACAATCCAATTAAAGCGCACCTCCAAATTTTATCATAACATGTAATTTTGGTGTAAATTTTTTTTAAGATTATCTTAAATCTATTTTTATCTCTAATTATAAAATTTTAAACTCCAAATATGGTAAAAATCTAGATTTATAAATATATAAAAATCTTGAAAATTGACAATTGAAAATTGAACTAAAAATCTTTTTTTTTTTCATATTCATACATCTCAAGATGAAAGATAAAAAGGTTTTTCAACATTAAAACAATTTTTTCTAATATATTTTTAAAGTGCATCTTAAATTCTACATTTTAAGGATGCAACCTCGTATAAACTCTTTCCTTGAAAAAAAAAAAATTTATCTATGAACTGGCATCCCATATCTTAGACCAAAAACCAATAATTCTACATTTTAAGGATGCAACCTCATATAAACTTTTTCCTTGAAAAAAAAAAGGTTATCTATGAAATGGTGTCCCATATCTTAGACTAAAAACAAAAAAAGTATAGTTTGAATGAGGGAGTAGATATACAGTACGCTCCTACGGGAGCATGGTATATGACTTCGTTATATTCCTCTTGTTGTTGCTGCTGTTTGGCGCCATTTCATTTCTGGATCTTCATTATTATGGCGTTGTTTGTTGGGAGAGTGGGTAAAGCAATGTGCGGGTGCATTGATAACTATTATGACGTAAGCATCGCACCGACACCGCCCCACCAAGATTCTTTGCACTACTCCCGCGCCTTCCCCTCGCCGCTCTCAATTCAAAAACACACACACTTCACGTGCAGACAACTCAGCCTCTCTCCTCCCTGGCAAGCGTCCGAACGAACGAACAAAATAAAAAGGAGAAGTCGCTTTTTACTCGGTTCCGGGCGTAGATGCCCCAATCGCCTTATGCTTCCTCACTTAGGTTCTTATGGAATGTAAAATAAAAAATACGAAAAACTACTAAAATTCCTCTGGTTGGATGTTCTCTTTATAACGGCTCCTCGTCAAAAATCTCTCATGACTGGTTTTGTTAGCCTATACTATTTGGTGGTATACACTACTTGGTGGTATAGACTTTTAAAGTGTTCAATATTTTTAACATTAAAAATCGTAATATAAAATTTTTCAAGTAAGGGCTTTTTTTATTATTTAAAATGGTAGAATGGATCTTTTTATAAAAAAACAATAATATTTTATTAGTAGTTAAAAAAAAATTAATACATCTTATGGGTTATGTTACACACTATATCAGTGATATCATTGTCACTATTGTTAATTAATACTTTTATTTTTATTAAAAAAAATTAATTTATTTTTTATTAATTACTTAAAATACCTCTAAACAAAAAATTACTATAACATACACGATATTTAAATGCCTACAAAAAGTTGCACTTCAAAGGAAATAGGAGTTGATGTCTTTGTTTAATGGCGTGTGATTTCTTGAGGTGGGTGATCTTCCGTCTCACACGTTGGACAAGTTGTGGGCCCTAAAGTTTAGGATAGTAGGGAGAAAAAATTAGATTTATTAGTTTCTCTCTAAAGCTTTCTCTTTTGCTAAAATAATGAATAGGTTTGTTGGTTTCTCTATTTAAAGCATCTCTCTCTCTCTCCAAAAGCATAAATGGATTTGTTGGTTTATCTCTCTTAAAATGTAAATGGGTTTGATCAGTTTTCACTTTTTTTTTTTTCTCTCTCTCTCAGTAAAACATTGCATCTCTAGAGAGAAATTAACCTATTACAATTTTAAGAAAATATAAATATGAATAAAAATGTAGACCTAGAGAGAGAAAATGAGAAAAAGAAAGAAATGTGATTTTAATTCAAATTTTGTAAGAACATTAATGATTATTTTTTCATCATAAATTAAGCTATATAGTACCATGGGGTTAATTAAAGAAAATGAATTTTCAAAAGGTACAGTTGGCATACGAATGCATCCGTAGCTGTAGAGGTAAGGTGCACCTTTTAAATGTTATCATGGTATATAATTTTGATGTACAATGTTCTTAGGATTATCTAACAATCTATTTTTATATCTAATTATAAAATTTTAAATTTAAAAAATGGTTAAGATCAAGTAGATCTATAAACATATGAAAATCTTAAAAATGGACAGTGTAGATAATATGTTGTAAATACACTATTTTTTAAACTTAAAATCTTTTTATTTTTTATGTTCATACATCTCGATGTCGAGATGATCAATCAAAGGGGTTTTTCAACATTAAAACTATTTTTTCCAATGAATTTTTTAGTTGCATCCGTAGTTCTACATTGTAAGGTTGCATCCCTATACAAACTTTTTCCATTTTCAAATAATACGTGTGAGAGATTCTCAAGAGGGGGGGGGATCATTTCAACTCGGGGGATTTAGTAATTTTCCCCATAAAATTAGAGGGACGTATAAAATGAGAGGGACGTGGCGCAATCTGTTCCTTTTCCCTTCTCTTCAATCTCCCTCTCTCTTTTAGTTGTTTTCACTTTCACGAGAATCCTTACAACTCCATAATATTTTTTTTTTTTAACATTAACACATGATTTTTATCTATTAATTATAAACCAGTGAAATTATAAAAAGAACGAAATACATAAAGATACATCGCACGAAATCAGTAATCACTGATGAAGATTTCTCTCTCTCTTACTTCCACCGCCTCAAGCTTAGATGTGTTAGTGATAGGTTTCTTTAAGGTAGGTTTCTCTCTCAACAGGGGAAAGGCTTTTAATTATTTGGCGAGTTCCCTCTTTGTTTTTTCATTTCTCAAACCAATAAACCAAGAGACATGACTTAATTATTGTACTGATACCCAAGAAATTGAAACATTTTGACTTGGCTCCAAAGAAAAGAACAAATAGCAATCAAGCAAAGCCCACCTAACATAATATATAGCAAAAGATAAGAGAATAGGATGCCTGCTGCCATAGGCCCGGGCTGAGCCCAGCCATTCTAAATTATTTGCAGGACAGGCCCCGGCCAGACCTGGCCTAGTACTTTGTCAAGTTGGGCTGGCCTGCGTAAGATTTTAAATCGCAGGCAAGCCTTAGGCCCGGCCCGGGCAGCCCCACCCATGAGTGAGATGGGGTTTCAAATTGAAAGGATTGAAAAGTAGGTGAGATCGGCAGTTGTTAAGTGGAGACGTTGAAGTGATGGCCCGCTAGCTTGTGATTGTTGGAATGGAGAAAGAGAACATGGGGTTAGGGGCTGAGCTTGTGCTTGTTGGAATTGGCCTCTGGGCGCTCTCCCTACGCCCTTCGCTCAAGAGACTTGCGGCCGAGATGCTAGTGGCTATAGGTGACGCCTTCACCCGAATGTCCCGAGAGTCGCCGCCTTCTGCATTCGTCATGCTTCACCCTTTTTCAGGAACACCTTTCTTGAGACATTAGACCCCAGTTGCCGAATCTCATATTATGGTAGATTTCTTGCTTCAAATTCTAACGATCGATTCGTGATTTTCCGGCCATTCTTGCTTTATATGCCTATTTCGCTCCATTTTTCGGATTTTAGAGACAGTTTTTTCTTCTTCTCTTGTGAATTTATGTAACCACAACAACACAGAGGGTTGGAGCTTCGAAAAGAAAAGAGAGAAAAGGCCCCTTTCTTCTTCTTTGTTTAACCAGATCGACAATTTGATCGGTTACTACTAAGAAGTGTAACTCACTTGATAAATTTATCATTTTTAGAATATGCTTGTGATGGAGAGAAATAAAATGGTTGCATAAATTTAGGCTAATCAAAGTCCCAAACAAGGTGCGAGCATTGGGATTTCATCATCAAAATGAATCGAGTTATTTTTCTTCGTCACTGTGTTTTTTACTTTTATCCCTTGCTTTCGTCTTTAGTAAATTGTGATTTTTGGGAGAAGCATCCATGCTGCATCTACAAGCCCTGTTCCATCAAATGATGCATCAAAAGAAATTACCAAAATCCTTACGGAATGATTAATGCTAGGGTCTTAAGTGCATTATTCCTTTCTAACGTTATACAAAAATTTCACAATTCAATTTAGGGTTATGTTAGGGTACTCATATGTCTAAGAAAAATTGGATAGTTTAAATTCTAAACGCATCCAGTTAGATCGGAACCAACTACTGGCCAGTTCAAGTTTCGACCGGTTTTTGTGAATCGGTTGGGTATTTTTAAAAAAATTCAATATATATATATATATATATATATATATATAATAAATTATAATAGATAATGACATCATCCACATGAAAAAGAATAGCACCTTTATGGAACAATGATTGCGTCTTAATTACTAATAAAATGTCACTAATTTATGTACAAATATCTATCATATCCCTCTTAATGACAAAAAAAATACCCTTATTAAAAAAAAATTGTATTAAAAAAACAAAGAACAATGAGTGTCCAAAAATATTGAGTACATTAAATAAATACTCATGTTAAATAATCCTTCAATTTAAAATTACAATGAAGGAAATTAATTAAGAAAGAAAGATTGCATGATCAAATTGTATAACTGATCAAAAAAATTACGTACAAGAAGATGGGTGGACAAACTTACAAAATAACAAAATTGAGGGATCTCTATACACTCAAG